TTTTTTTTCCTCATGCTTCCTGCGTATTGAGTGCCAATTTTCAGACTAAAAGACAGGGCAACTTTCAGTTACTATAAGTGCATTTCACCAGGGGCAAAGGCATCTTTTCACAGTTTGCCAAGTTGCACTCAAGTCCCTTTGGGACTTCAGAATCATTACCAAATTTTTTGGGATTTTTTTGTAGTATTTTGTATTGCATGGGACCTCAGTGTCATTTTTCCTTGCCAACTTCGTCTTCTCTGACTATAAATCCGATCCGAAGAATCATTTTGATCCACCATCATTATAGTTTTAAGTATGCCGTATATAGCTTTAAGCAAACATCGTAGTATACGCCGTACAATAAGAATAATGAACATTAGATTCTCAGAATACTACTATGTGTCCTGTCTTAATCCTTACATAACCTTCTTTATTTAAACGCCATGATTGAGGCGCATCACTCATCAGAACACGTACAAGCATCACCAAACTAGAGAGGCCAAGGAAAAGAAATGGGCTCAGAAACCATTCTTAAGCTTCCAGTCGTTGATTTTAACAGCCTTAACTTGGAAAGCAAAAATCCTAAGTGGGACGAAGTGAAATCCCAAGTCCACAAAGCACTTGAAGAGTGTGGTTGCTTTGAGGCTTTGTTTGATAAGGTCCCTCTAGAAATTAGGAAATCCTTAATTGATGTGCTCAAAGAGCTCTTTGATCTCCCTCTTCAAGCCAAGCTACGAAATGTGTCTAAGAAGCCTTTTCATGGCTATGTTGGGCAGTACCCTCATGTGCCACTCTATGAGAGCATGGGCATTGACGATGCAAATGTCCTTGAGAAAGTAAAGAGTTTGGAAAATAACTTATGGCCTGAAGGATACCCAAGTTTCAGGTATCATCCAATTTAGATTTTAACTGTCTTGTTATTCTTTTTCAATGAAACTCTATCATTTTTATTCCGAAGGAAACCCTTCTAGTTTATTATATTTCTCCTTTATCAGTTCTTTCAATGATGAAATTAGATAACATGTTCTCATTTCTTCCAGCATAATCTAGTACTTTTTGATGAATATGCTTCGATAATGAACCCTTGGAAAGTGTCATCTATGTGGTTTAATTTATCATTCATATGTTCAGTTTTTGTCATCTTATATAGGACATGTTTGGCAGATGGGAAATTATACATTTATTAAGACAACTCCTGAGGACCTTAGTCAAGTTTCATCTATATTGCCTCTATATTTGTTGTTATTTTTTGCAGCAAAACTATACAAGCCTTCTCAGATGAGCTATCAGAGCTGGATCAGATAGTGAGGAAGATGGTTCTGGAAAGTTTGGGAGTTGAGAAGTACTTGGATGAGCACATGAACTCAACCAATTACCTTCTGAGGGTTATGAAATATAGTGCTCCTCAAACTGAAGACACCAAGCTGGGTATAGCCTCGCACACAGATAAGAACATAGTGACCATACTGTATCAGAATGAAGTTGTGGGTTTAGAAGTTGAAACCAAAGATGGAAAATGGATCACTTACCAACCCTCCTCGCCTCACAGTTTTGTCGTTATGATTGGCGATTCTTTCCGAGTAAGTCCATTGTACAAAGCTTACCCTGAAAAACATAGTCAACTAATTGGAAAGGGTACGGTCTACCTTTTACTCCCTCCGATCTTTTCTTATAACATCCAAATTTTTGAATTCTTGCCGTCCTTTTTATAACATATAGTTTGGAGTTTTCATGTATTCACTTTCATCTTTTTTCACATTATTTCTCTCTCACTTACCTGCTTCTAAATAAGGACAGACCTGAAAAAAAAGAAGCCTATTTCTTACATATTTATTACTTTTAACTAATGTTAACAAATTTCTTAAACCGCACACAATTCAATTATTTGAATCTTATAGAAAGGACCGGATGGCCCGGGGAGGGAGTATTTTCATGTTTACCACAAGAAAAACTAACTGGTAAGAATTATCTGTTTGTTTTAGTAATACAAAGCTTGAGTATGTTGCAGGCATGGACAAATGGGAGGTTATATTCGGCATTTCACAGGGTGATGATGACAGGAAATGAAGCAAGATACTCAGCAGGGTTGTTTTCGATTCCAAAAGGAGGGTATATGGTGAAAGCACCAGAGGAGCTGGTGGATGAAGAGCACCCTCTTATGTTTAAGCCCTTTGATCACGTTGAGTTTCTCAAGTACTACTACACTGAAGAGGCCCAGAGACAGAAATTTGCTTTAAAGGCTTACTGTGGTGTTTGAGGAAACTAAACTTCAATAATATTATAGTTGTCTATTGTCTTCCAGCCAATAAATATTGCACATCTCTTTTGTTAACGTTGTGTTGTTACGTTGTATCATAAGCACATTTTTCTGTTGGTCAAAATAATTTGCATTAGATTGGGACGTAAAAACCAAAACTATCTGTTTTTATGACTTATAAGACTAAAATATGATGATCAACAGTTATATATGTTGAAGTGGTGGTACTGTGAATTTGAGTTAACCGCATAAGCTCTAATAATATGGTACTACCTCTGGTTCTAAATATAAGAGCTAGTTACCTAATTTGAGTAGATTAAGAAAATAAGTTAAGTTAGTTATTTGTAATAAATAGATATTGCTAAAATACCCTTACTAATCAAGTTTATTGATTAGAACTACTATTATTACAAGAACTATTTTGGAAAAAAAATGTATAAATATAATAGACAAAATAGATTAGAATATTATATTTAAGATCAAAATAAAAATCAAATGAGATCTTATATTAAGAAGTAGAGGTAGTATATTGTTACTTAATATACAAATGAATTTTATTATAATATAAGGATTATTAGCAGCTTTTAGTTAAGTTCATAGAATCTCCAGGAAGTAATTGTTTGAGCAAGCAGCACACATTTTGATCCCAGCTATTTGTATGAATCTATGTTTCGGTTTAAGTTGATTATAATAACAATCTAGTTATGATATGATAGTTTTTAATATGCCAAAAATATTTTATCAATATATAGTTGCTAAAAATAAGACTCACGTAATACATAATTTAAAGGATTTGAAATTTGTTTGGTTTAGTTAGAAGAATTTTATCTAGATATTTTAATTTAATGGATGATTATCATCGCATATTTCATTTAATTGGTTTTGGGGATGATGTGGCAAAACTGCAAAAGGATGCCATCATCAGATTAAAATAAATGAATTAGAATTTTATTTTTGTCATGTATATATGAAGCGCACTCCGATCTGCTCATACTCTGTCCATTCCTTTTTATAAGAAACAATCTCTCTCATAATGGTTACCCCAAACATAAGAAACAAATTTTTTGTATACAATTTTAAATTTCACTTATTATTTCATATATATTGTTAAATTTTAATTGACACTAAATATAAAAATTAGATAACTAATTTACACAAATTAACAAAATTAGTCAATTAGTTATTTTTAAAAATAAATGTGTATTAACTTTTCTAAAAAAATTTAGATCAAATTCTTTATATCTATTATGTCAAATTCTCTAATTACATATGGTTATGTGTTTCATGTGGATTTATAATTAAATGATATTAAATTCTAATATTTTAAAAAGAGGACACATGACCATGTGATAGATATAAGTAACTTAACATAGGTAATATTTTTTTTTAATCATTTACATTGAAAACTATTTATATTAATTCCGCATAAACGTGTGCAAATCAATATTGATATTTTTGGGGGCGGGGGAATAAAATAATACGAGGAACAAAAGAGATTAGAGGTTTTATATATTTACAACCAAGGTAAACTTCAATTATTGAGCAAAGAAAAAAAAACTCTTCAATTAGTTTCTACATTGAAGGGCGGAGGGAGTAAAATGTATTTTATATTTGTTGCTTCATGAACTGGTCTTTTCCATAAAGAAAATGAGTATCTATTTGCAATGGTTTATTTGTTCTCCAGATAACAGATCTTCGATTCCATTTGCTTTACTTTCTCATGGATGCACTCATATATAAAAGTATACATAAGTATTCATACAGAAAGCAGGGAAAATTTTTCAGAGTTCGATGCGTCTACCTTGGCTGGACCAAAAAGGCATTAATCATACTTCGTTAATTTCTTGTTGAGCTTTATCTTCAGATCAATTATTCTGCATGATTCACCACTTAATTTCTGGTCCAAACGTTATTCTCATCACACTTCCTTGACTAACCATCAGTTGGTTCTCCCATATATGTATGAACAAACATATCACTGTCAAGAGAACTATACTTCTATAGATGGCCTTCAATGCAATCACACTATTGATGTTACTTTAATTTGTTAAAATTCATCTGTTATTACCACCACCTCTGGTTCTTAATATAAGAGCTAGTTGACTAATTTGAATAGATTAAGAAAATTAGTTGAGTTAGTTATTTGTAATAAATAGGTGTTGTCTTTCCTAAAATATCTTTGCTAATCAAGTGTATTGACTAGAACTACTATTATTATAAGAACTATCTTGAGAAAAAAAATGAATAAATATAAGAGACAAAGTGGATTGGGATCTTATATTTAGGATCAAAATAAAAATTAAACGAGCTCTTATATTAAGGACCGGAGGTAGTACAACATAAAATATTGGTGGTCCAACATGAACATATATATCAGAGATGTGCCCAACACGTACGGCTGAGTTTATGGTAGTTTTTATTCAATGTCACAATATATTAAACTTAGCCTACGTTCAAGCTTCAAACTGATCATTTGATGGACCACTTTCATGATTCAGATTTTGTCATATTTTATGCCAAATGAAATATATTAGCATGCACCGTACTAGCTAGATAAGAAAAAATATTTTTTTCTCACCCAACGTAACCCACCAAACATAATTTTTATATCAAAAGAAAAATTGATTTCCAGAATAATACTGTGTCTCCATTTAATTTATCCCTTCAACACAAAGCTTATTTACTATTTAAATAGCATGGTCAGGACTCATCAGAACGCACATCTTCAAACCTAGCTTAAACTAGAACCTCACTATAGATAATGGGTTCAGAAACCACTCTTAAGCTTCCAGTCATTGACTTTAACAATCTTGACTTGGATTGCAAAAACTCTAAGTGGGAGGAAGTGAAATACCAAGTCGTCAAAGCACTTAACGAGTATGGTTGCTTTGAGGCTGTGTTTGATAAGGTTCCTTTAGACCTTCGCAAATCCTTATTCGTTGTGCTCAAAGAACTATTTGATCTGCCTCATGAAACCAAGCTACGAAATGTGCACGAAATCCCTTATTATGGTTATCTTGGAAAGGGACCTAGAAGTCCACTGTACGAGAGCATTGGCATCGATGAAGCAAATATCCTTGAGAATGCAGAGAGCATGGAAAAAATCTTGTGGCCTGAAGGATACCCAAGTTTCAGGTCTCACCAAAATTCCCCTTACAAGTGTTTGTTGTCTATTCTTTTTTAACCAAACATGACTTTTTATTTGGTTATGGTGAATCACCTTGTTTGTTATTGTTTTGGTAGCAAAGTTGTGCAGGCTTTCTCAGAGAAGCTATCAGAGCTGGATCAGATTTTTAGGAAGATGGTTCTGGAAAGTTTAGGAGTTGAGAAGTACCTGGACGAGCACATGAACACAAGCAATTATCATATGAGGGCTAATCAATACACGCCGCCTCAAACTGAAGAAGAAAAGATGGGTGTAAGCCCTCACACAGATGGGGGCTATGTAACCATACTGCACCAAAATGAAGTTCAGGGCTTAGAGGTTGAGGCCAAAGATGGAAAATGGATCAAGCCCTCCCCTCATAGTTTTGTTGTCATGCCTGGCGACTGCTTCTATGTAAGTCCCATCCCTTTATAAATATATACATATATATGTATATATTTATAGCAAACCAAAGCTTCTACGTAATATGTTAGATCAGTTACATTTATTATGTGTTGGATTATACAGAGTCTACCCTCGATGGATTAGGACCTAAGCTCAAATAAAAGGAAAACTGCCTTCAGCCCTTTACCGGCACCGCCTTGGACCCTAGCCCAACCTAACGCCTCAAAATCCTTCACATGTTTAGGGCATGAAGCTTATGTGATGTAGTAAACTAGTAAGAGATAGTGCTAGGTATAGTATATATATATATATATATATATATATAACTAAACCATGAGAAATACAAATAATGCAGGCTTGGACAAATGGAAGGCTCACTGCGGCTTTTCACAGAGTGATGCTGAGAGGAAATGGGAAAAGATACTCGGCAGGATTGTTCTCAAATCCAAGAAGAGGATACATTGTGAAAGCACCAGATGAGCTGGTGGATGAGGAACACCCTCTTCAATTTAAACCCTTTGAATTTATTGAGTTTCTTGACTATTACCACACTGAAGGTGCCAGGGAACACAGAATTCCTCTCAAGGCTTATTGTGGTGCTTGATTTAATTGCCTCTAATGTTCTGAGTCTAAATTATTATATTGTATAATAAAATATTGTATGTTGTGCTTTACTGAAAATAAAGACGAATAAGATATTGTCAGTAGAGAGAGATGAGTTGTGTCACAGGCGCACACACGCGCACACATAAGTGATGAGTTGTGATATGATACTTTAAATGGCATTTAAAGATATCTTGTACCTTAAGCTAATGAAGTGTAGTATTTAAGGATATCTTGTACCTTAAGCTAATGAAGTGTAGTATTTAAAGATATCTTGTACCTTAAGCTAATGAAGTGTGTCTCTCTTTTGTTCATTGCTTCATGAGATTTTCTTGTATTATTTATGCAGAAAGGCTTACTTTTTCCCCCTGCTGATATCAAAGTAAACCAAATCTTGGACTGATTCATGAGTTGCTTTTAGTAATTTCAACTGATGCTTCCAAATTATCCAAACATGTGTTATAACCAATGTTCAGTTATAGGCTACAAGAACAAATCACAGAGAGAAGAGAAGAAATATTCAGAGCGAAAAGAAGAAGGTGACAGAGAGAAGAGACACAAAATTCCACACACCCTGCATCAACCCTAATGTTCAACTCGTACCAGCCCAATTGAAGTGGTCCAGTGCTCAAAATTTGCTTCTGGCTGGGTCCAATCCTTTACTAAGATGAGGTCCATTTCATGACAAATCGCATCCCCCGAAATTAACTAGTAATTTTGCTATCAGAGAAGTTCAATACATTATCATTTGTGTTTCGATTGCCACATTTGTCTTCACAAGTCAAAGAAGCTAACATTGTGCCAAGTGGTTTGCCCATAAAAGACGATGAGTAAAAATTTTATACACCTTTCCTATAGGATGTAGGAATTTGCTTTTAACATATTGGTGTAACAAGTCGCTTGCTGGTAATTAGTTGATTTCTTGCACAATTTCTCAATACCTTGTTTCCAGAAAAAGTAAAACAAAATATACCTAAATCTCTATATGTAATTTAATCAGTGTTACAAACAAACAAAAATTATGTTATTGGAGATTAAAATTTGAATTGATATTCCTGTAAAAGGTGAACCTCAATTCACTCGTACGGTCTTCATTCATTGATTTTTGTCACTCATCTTACCAGTATTTAACTTGTTAGTTCAACGTGCATCAGAACTTCTTAAAGATATGGATCTGACTTCTTTCTTTGGGAAACCAAGAGAAAGGCGCGTGGATGATGCGATTAAGCCTTTTTTTCTCCTAACTTGCATTTTGATTGCTAATGTTTCTAAGACATCGGTGATTAATGTATCAAAGACTTGGATCCACAAGAATATGATTACTTTGGATGGTTTCTGCCTTCATTTTCCATTTATTTAAGGCTTCTCTAACGTGCCTGATAGAAGCATTCTTTGGAAATGGATTTCTCAGCAAAACTCTAATATTTCATGATCAGTGGCTTATTATGGGGGGATTTTAATCAATGCTCTGATCCTTCTAGTAAATACAATGAGTTCATCTTCTGAAGTTAAAGGCGCCCGAGATTTTAATCAAATGATCCAATACTGATGCGACTCAATTGAAATCAAACAGAAAGGTCAATGGTTCACGTCGACTAATGACAAAACTAGTTATACCAGAGGACCACGATTCAATGGGAAAGGCCAGATAAAGCTTTTTCTAATATATAGCATGGGTGACTAAAATCCCAAGCTCTCATCTTTTTTTTATGCCCTCCAAATAGCTGCTTCTGTTCATGCTCCAATACTCTTCTCCTCTGAGTTGTTTTGTACTTCAGTTAAGGGGAACTCCTATGCTAAGTTTGAATTTTTCAGGCTAAAATTCCAGAAATGCCATGGAATGGCTAAAAGAACGCCTGGAACATGGATATTAATCTAGGATAGGAAATATTCCTAGAAGAATTAGAGAACTGGAGGACCAGTTGGTGAAGGAACAGGCATGCCTTCAAGTAGAAAAGGCTAACTCAACAAAGCGTTCTTTGGAATGTTTGTGTACGAGTATGAAGAAGCTCTCTAGATGCAAAGATCCCAGCAATTATATGGTTCTTGGATGGTGACAGGAATTCGAGTTACTTCCATGGTCAGGAAGAAAAGAAATTCTAATAGAATTTACATAAAAGATGAAGGAGGTACGTGGACCTGATCTTATGCGCACAAATTTGAAGATCTGGCTATTAAATACTTCTAAGATATCTTCCATTATCAGAATTGTCCTTCTCATGAGTGTAAGCAGTTTTTGTGCTTCTCCTCATCTGCCTAAGCTAAAGCAGGAATATGTGAATCATTTAATGGAAAAATTCATTAAGGAAAAAATTAAAGAAGTGTTTTTGGTTTACCTCAAGATAGTGCTCCAAGTTTTGACAATTTTCAGGCCAAAATATTCTTCCATCATATATTATTGGAAACAGTCAAGCAAGATGTTATAAATATGGTTTCTTCTTCTTAGGACAAGGGATCTATTCTTAAAATCCTTAGCACCCTGTGTATCTTATTCCCAATTGCGACTACCCTCAAAGTTTTAAAAGATTTTAAAATGCTAATGGCCTTGTGGCCTGGTCGTATGAAAACATTCTTAGCTGGCTATTGGTGGGAGGTCGCGGTTCAATCCTGCTAGTAATATCAGGCCATTAAAGCATGCCTTTTAAATAATAAAAATTAAAAAAAAATATTTTTAAGCTGATCAGTCTCTCTATTGTCGCCTACAATATCATCTCTAAGGTCCATCATGCTTAAGTTTATTCTGGATGACAATATTTCTCTTTTTCAGATAGAATACTGGAAGGCTGATTTCTGATAATATATACTTCTGGCTGCGGGGAACCATTCATTTCATTCGCACTTTAAAAGGAACATGACTTGTTGGGATGCTCTGAAAATAGATTTCTCAAAAGCCTTTGATAAGAATCTTGGGGAATTTTTAACAGCCGCCCTTCAGGAAATGAACTTTTAAGCCCTTTGATTACGTTGAGTTTCTCAAATATTAGTACACTGAAGAGGGCCAGAGAAAGAAGTTTGTTCTCAAGACTTATTGTGGCGTTTGGCTATCTTGCTGCGATATAATACTTGGATCCTTAATGTCTGTGAAAGTTATTCTTCTTGAAGGAAATAATAAAATGCGTGTGTATTATATAAACAAATTAAGGGTTTACAAATGGAAGGAGATAATGAAAGACTGGCCGGAAATAGGAACAAGAAAATCAGTTCGAAACTGTATGCAATAAAGAAATATTTTCTTGCAGAAATTGTTTTCTTCGCTCCCATTTGAAATATGATCCAATAACTTAACCAAACACTTTCTAAATCAAGCTAACAATAACACTTTCTATTCCACAATTTTATTCATAACGATCAAATGTGCTCATTTCTGTTGTGTTAGAAGAAGGGAATCTGATCTCCCCCCCCCCCTCCCCAAAAAAAAGGGTATTAAAAAGGATTGCTTATAAATGCCAGTAGAAAATTTCATTTTTTTAAAAAAAAAAAGAAGTTGATGAGGCAAGCTAAGTATGTGGAGAAAAGCTTGAAAACCATAATTTGGGGGTCCTATGGCTTCTTTGAGGTTTTGTTTGATATGGTCCCTTTGGGCCTACGAAAAGCCACTATTTCTTCGGCCGAAGAGACAAACATGTGGAGAAAATAATGAGGATGAAAATTATTTTCTTGGTCCTTTTATTGATACTTGCAATGTTGACTCTGCTTCGAAATATAATGATTAAATCCTCCAAATGATTATTCTGTTGTACCACATAAATTCTATGAAATTAAATAAAAAATTAAATAATCCTGTTGGTGGAACAAAATATCTCTCACTTTTCTCTGAATTTTTTTCCTCCGAAGTAATGCTGATATATGCCTTGGCCTTAAATGGTGGTGCATCAATCCTTGGAATCTAGTACCAATAGGTATAGTCCCATCTAAAATAATTTTTTTCTGTTAGACTTTTCAGTTAATTGATATGTCCCTAGAATAATAAGATTTAGTGGAAACTTATAATTAAATAGACTTAGCCCTGACATTGTTGTCTTTTCTAAAACACAAATTTAGTTAGTTGTTTGCTCTTGATCACCATTAAATACTATACGTCCCACAAGTTTCAGTAATGGCCTGAAAAAAAAAATCAAGATTTAATGGTGACTTCGGTTTATAGCAGTGACAATTATTGGTTGGTGAATTATTTTTTCCATAAAGTACCCTGTCTAATTTTATATATGAAAACCTTTTCTATTTATAATAAAAATACTAATAATGTGTCTGAACTTTTTAGTATTATTTTCAACTTATATCCCTATTAATTATTAGTTAATTTCACTACGTTAATTATTCACGCATCCTGTCACTCTCTTGTCATAAATAAGGATACTTTTAAAAATAAATTGTATTTTTTTTCATATCTATTACTTTTAATCAATTTTAACTTACTCCTTTGGCGGCCTTATTTTTTTTGGTTGAGACTCCTTTGATCTTATTTATAAATCACTCCTAATATGTTTTTCGTGTTTTACTGAAACCAAGAAAAGTCTTAAATGTCATTAACTTTGTCTTAAAATTTAATCATTTTCAACTTTACTCATATTTAATATACATTTCATCCCAAAAGTACACAGTCTTGCATTTAACACTATAATAAATAAAAAGTAAAATTATACATTAACATAAAAATTTAACAATGTAACTTATAAATATGACAAAAAAACATATTTTCTATAAATAGGAGTATAGGAATATTTTCTAATTATTTTTAGTAAATATGAATTTCATCAAGAGGAAATATGACGCCTCAATCAACACCGACCGTCTGCAGTCATTCTCCCAAAAAATAAGCTACGTTACGTGAAGCCAAAGAAATTATCTTTTTTCCAAAGTCATGTTAGAAGAAAACGGAATGGGCATAATAAATCTATTAATATAAACAAGGGAAGACAAAAACTCCTTTGAAAGAGCGAGAAAAATAAGTGATAGATAGATGAAAATTAAAAGGGAATCAAAAAGCAAGACATACATTGAAATGACTAGGTAAATTAATAATAAAGAATTCCCCTAATACTTGGAGTAAACTGGAAGAAAATAGATATGAAATAGTGAATGTGGATGGTCGGTTCCATTATTGGCAAAAATTAAGAAGATGGCATGAAAAGAGAGTTACGTGGAGAGAATAATTACAACTTGTTTTTGGGC